ATCAACTTGAAATCGGTCGAAATCAGTGAAATCGTAAAATCAGCAAAAAATGGGAAGAATAGAAGGGGGGGGGGGATTTGAACTTCAAAATCGACCAACGTGAAATGGTGACGAATAACAGAAAAAAAAATTCCGTGCACTCAGCGTGCGCTCTGAGGACCGTTGTTTACATCTACAGGCGTGCTCCCTGCAAAAAAAAAATACGAAAATAAAACACGAGATAGTCGAAATGTGAAATTCTCAGAAAATATCGATTTTTCAATATTTTCTAATAATTCCCCAACTCGACATTTAACGCGTTCAATCCGGAAGTTTACCGCTAGACGCGGAGCAGTTCAGTCCTCGAGGAGACGTTTTAATTTACGCGTGATACGGTGGACCTACGTGTATGTAAAAATGGACGACACAGATCTTGTTCAAGGTGAAAAGTTTTGGCAGGTAGTGAGGAGTGAGACAGGGATTATTTTATCGATACATGTAAGAAAAATGTTGGCGGTTAATGATTTGGATCATCCACTTGCGTTCAGTGGAATTACAGTACAGACGATTGATGCAGTTGAGGCGTATGCAAGAGATGTGTTGCCGGAAATCTTGGACCCCAGCACAGATTTGCAGCAGTATTACGGTCTTTACAACAAGAAACCGGAAAATTTTCAATTTAACGCTGGCGAACGTATGATGATCCTGAAATTAGTTCAATTGGTGGCCTTGAAACCTCTCGAGTTCTGGAGACCCCAGAAAGAGAAGACTCCTGCACTCAAGCAAAACAAAGTGTTGACGAAGAGGCCGTTAACAATCGCCAGTCAAGAGAACATCGAACACGAACGTAAAACACTTACTAACATGATAAAAAATAAAGTGAATAAGTATTGTGAAAAGGAGAATATCTTGAAGGATGGAGTTGTGCGACAAGTATCAGTGAACGATTTATCGGTTGTAATCAAAATTATCGAAGAGTATGGAGGAAAGAATTTGCCTGATGCAATATCCTATGAAGCAAAAATCCAGTGCATTTTTTGTCACACATCCTACACAGATTTAACGAAAGTTCGAGCAACCTCGACGTCAAAAGATAATAGTCGTTGAGCAGTGACAAATTACGAGAGACATCTAAAAAATTATACAAACAAGAGGAAGAGATCAGCACCAAAAGACTGTGTTCAACTCACACTCCCGCAATTGAATAAGAAATTCAAGATGGTTAGTCAGCTCGAGCAATCGACCACAGTACCAACCAACGACATACAGATCCGTTTATGCAGGTATTTCTATCAATTCAGTAAAATTAATCATCAAATTATGAAATACGCTGAAAATTCGCTCAACAATTTTTTCCCTCTGTTTATGCATGAGGATTGCATGAGAGTACGAAGACTCTTTTGATTTATATTCTCTTGTATTTCAGGATCGATACTAGAGGGGGAGGCATTGGGCCTCAGATTGGAAAGAGAAAATCAGCTGAGGGAATATACCGATTTATGTCAAAGTCTACCATCCACAGGTATTTCGATTCCCTATTCAAATTAATTAATCATGACGAGGATTTTGAAGAAAAAAAACAAAATTTATCTGATTTCTTTTGAATAAATTTTCTCATTCTGACCATTTCAGGATTGATAGAGACTGCAGAGATGACAAAATTCTTACAAATGCCGCTGGAATCATCGCACCTACAATCTCCAGTACAATCAACGAACGTAACACAACTGAAGCCTGTAATCTATTCGCCTGGTCAACCTGCGGGGCCACCTGGTGGATCAGCAGCTCAGCTCAACCACAAACTGAATCACACGTCAACAATCTCTTGAATCGAAAATGCAAGATGATTTTTCGATGTCGTCCACTATTAGAGAGTCACTGAGTATCATCAACAATTTGGGGTCGGGGGAAGTTTGAGTCAGGGCAGTTGCCGAACGAATTGCTCTGATAAGATAGATAATATAAGGACGAAAGTTCGGAAACGTGATAATTCTCGGAGTACTCGGAATTTCAAACAGCTTCATTCATCTAATACCGCGAATCAACCGCTAATCACGAATTAATTTCCCATTTTCGATGAAGTACAGAAGCTCATAGTTGAAAATGACAAACTAAATCGCATTATTACCTCTCTTGTTGAAAGTCAAAATAATCAATCGAACAAAGTTCCTTCGTAAGACGATAATTGTAAATTTTTTTAAAATTTGCAACAAGTTGCAATGGGTCAGTGTCATGGACAGCGGAATCAAAAGTATAATGATGGCTACGAAACATTATATTCAAATCTGCCACTTCCTTTATTAAGTACGATAAGTCGAGTAATTGATGATACTGGTTGTCATATGATTGAAGGTGTTTGTAGGGTTAAAGAGTTGAAGAGATTTTTAATATCGAGGAATTTACCAATGGTTGTGTTCTTAAGTGAAGATGCAACACGTATTACTGGCAGAATCCAGTACGATTCAGAGCCCAATCAGTTAGTGGGATTTGTTTTGCCTCTGAATATGAATGGCATGCCTCTATCGGGGAAATTTGCTGTCACGTCAGCAAGTGCAATTGAAAAATCATTTGAGTCAGGGCAACCTGCAAGTTTAATCTACGCGGTTATGGCACAGCCCCTTCAGGAGAATTCCCCCACCTTTTATTTACTATTATTTGGTAGTGATAATAAGTTTAATTATTATGACGTACGTGCCAGGTGGCGTTTTATTATAAAGTTACTTGATAGTGAAGGTATTTCGGTATTTGGTGTAGCATCGGACGGGGATCCTCGACTTTTAAAACCAATGAGGCTTGAAAGTCGATTGGGTATCGATGAAAATACTTCTGTTTTATTAGGAACTGAGACTCATTTGCCTTTTTTTCACGCAGTACTCGAACCAGAAATTCTTTCTACACAAGATATTACACATACTGGTGCAAAATTGCAAGTCAGAGTGCTGAAACCTTCAATAGTATTACCAATGGGCAATTTTCTGATTTCATCGACTCATTTACAACTATTAATGACGACACTATCAAAAGACAAACATTGTTTAAATTCGAAAGATTTATCCCTAAAAGATAAGATGAACTATAAGTCAGTAGAAAAAATAAGTGATCCCAAAGTGACCGAGTTATTACAAAACCACGTACCTGGGAGTGATGCGACCATTTTGTATTTAAGAATAATCAATTTATTTATGAGCGCTTTCTTGAAGAAAGATCTGAGTCCGGTCGAGAGAGTGTACAATGGTTCTGTATTTTTCTTTTAAGATTCTGGAGAGTTTGGTTGCTAAATATTCCGGAATATTCAATTACAGACAATTTCATATCATTGAACACGTACATTGGTATGGAACTTAATGCGCACAGTTTGATTAGTTCTATTCTGAAAAGGAAAACGGTAGTCAGCACTGGGCTTTGCTCTTCCGATCAGTTGTTGACATGGATTTTTGGGAGTCAAGCATGTGAGAGTTTGTTCCGTAGATTACGTTCGATGAGTACCACAGATTCCACAATTGTCAATTGTTCTCTCCTTGATACGATCCATAGATTGAAGAGAATGCAATTACAAGAGGATATTTCATCTGGAAATTTGAATGGTACTACTAATCAGTTTCACTATCCACGTTTAGCCGGATCAAAATTACGAGCAATCCAAGAATTTGAGCTCCCAGAAATCCATGAAATTGTACAAATAATTGAAGTAGCTCAAAAAGACGCCTTCGAAGCAGTCGGAAAAATAGGTATGGAGGTGGAGATGGGGGATTGTCTAAAAATACAGGCGAAATCATTAGATACTGAAGAATTTTTTGAAAAAGAGTTTGATGACAATGGTGAGTCTGCAAAATTGGAAGAGGAGAAGAATTTGGATGATTCAACAGAGGATTGCAGTGCATTGATGCACGATTTGAACACCCTCTCAAGTATAAAGGATCCCCTAGAATTAGGGTCAGTTGATGAGGAGGCAACTAGTCTTTCTCCTGAAAGTCCTTTTACTATCGTAGCACATAAATCTGGCACGACGTGAGCTCTAAGCACGAGATGAGTGCCTTCGTGAGAGCATGTGATGAGATACATGTAGGAGACTGGTGTTTATTCCAAGAAAAAGATTACAAAACATGTTTATTGGGATTAGTTTTAAGTTTTGTATATCTAGAGGGAAAAGCGCTCAAATCGTGAGAATTAAGAATAACTGCAAGGCAATAGGAGTTCTTTGCAGTTGGTACATTTTAAACAAGAAACAAAAAATTCTCGAACTGCAGCCAATGACCACTCATGGTTATGTGGCCATTGGTCAATATCGCCAGACAATTTCCCCACCAGTGGTTACCAAAAATGGTTTACAAATAGATGAGAAAATATATAAAGAAGTTATCAAATATTTTTAATTACAAGGTCCGTTTAATACTAATGAGAGTGGAGAGTTCAATTTGTTTCGCTAAATGTATGAAATGTACATTGTTCGCAATTTTGTTGAATAAATAGATATTTTATCAAATTAATGAGGAAAAAAATTATTTGATTCTCTTCGCTTCACACTTATGGTTTCTTTCCTTCATTTACTTGCCTTTTAATGACTCATGCTTGAGCCTCCTGGAATTAACATAATGCATTTCTATGCCCCCGGCTTGTATCCATATTTCTCCGTACTCCATTACCCCCTCCACTATTAAATGAATGAAATCAAAAATATGAAATCACTTGAAATCGAAATGAAATCGTAAAATCAGCAAAAAATCCCATGCAATCATATGAAATCGATGATTGCATGAAATCATTGAAATCGCCTTGAAATCGCCTTAAAATCACAGGAAATCAGCAATCACTGTGTCACCGGATTTTCAAATGAATGGCCCCTCGGAAAAAACGACTTAAAAATCTTTGATTTTCATGTCAGATCGCTAGGTATATATAAGTTAATGTGAAGTAATAGTCCAACCGTTTCGAATCATAATTAAATCTCCTACCACTCAGCCAATTACGGTCAATCAAGCAGCAATTATAATAATTTTACGAAGAAATCATAGAAAAACTAATTTCATTTGTCGCCAACGTTTCGAACACTCAAAGTGTCCTTCATCAGGGCATCATTTATTCTGTGTTATGAAAACAAAAAGATATATAAATACATATAAAAATCACAAAGGAACAAAACTATTGCACAATTTCAGTAATAACTATGTATAAAACCGTCTCAAAAGTTTACAAAATAATTATTAATGTTGTTACCTAATTAATCCATTTGGTCTTAAGGATTATCACAAAAATATCACCAATCTATATCCAAAAACTGACAAATACCGCTTATATCTGTCAGTGCTCTCCATAACCTAAAAATGACCCAATGTGAATCTTTCAAATTTTATAACTTAACTGCAACTATACACGAAATTTCAATGTTATGTTATTAGCATAATCAATTATTGTAAAAACTATGTTAACAAACACTGTCAAAACATCATGAAAATGCGAAAAACAAGAAAATTATTAATGAGATGAAATTATACATACTACTGCTGTTGTCATTTCATATGAAGAGAACAAAAGTTACCAAATATCACCAGACATTACGAAAAATTACTAGATTAAATGTCATCAATTCAAATCCATTATCACATTGTGTCATCAAGGTCATTATTACAAATTCATCAATAAAAATTATTTCATTATATTAAATTTACACTTTTAAAGACTAACCGACTAGTGTCAATTATTTTTAATTTTTAAAGAGCGCAATATGAGGAATTAGTGAAATTTGATTAAATGATCATAAGAATTGCCGAGTTTTTTACAATCATTCATGAAATTAACAGTGATGTTATTGTATTTTTTTATGTAGAACATTTCAAGAATGTTAAGATTATCATTCGGTTTTGCATTCCCTAAGATAACAGTATTATCAAAGTCAAAATGATGATGAAATTCTTTTGAATGACTTGACAAACCAGTTCTATATAACTGGTTCTGATTTCTTCGTAAAATTATTATAATTGCTGCTTGATTGACCGTAATTGGCTGAGTGGTAGGAGATTTAAATATAAGTTAATGCTTTCGTCGACTCTCCTTCGGAAAAACTTCTCCACTAGCCGCTGCTGAATATCTTTTAATTAATAATTGTCCATCTTCTCTAGGGATGAAGCAATGATTTTTTTTAGATGGCTGGAATGGCCTTTGCACTATTGAATCTTTGTTTTAAGCTGTCCTGGATAACTTTGTGTTCTTCTTTACTATAAGAAAATACATCAAGATCTTTGAAGTGATCTTTTGTCCAGCGAAACAGATCACTAGGTGTGAGGATAAGTTCCCCTTGAGTTATCCTCAGACTCTTTCGCCTCGCTCCCCTCTTCAAAACTGCGCCTACTCCATCACATGCCGTTTTACCATGTGCAGTCGCATGATAATGAGTTTCCGCTTCAATTCCAAAATCATCTTTGTGGTGCCCCACAGATTTGCGATTTGGTACCGATTCTTATAATGTTGTGCAGCTCCATCGGTAACATGAATCAATTTTGTCACCATCTCACAGACTTTTCTTATGTGCTCTATCAAAATTTTTTGCATCACGTAAAGCGCAGCAGTATCGTGGACAAGACTATCAGATAGAAGGACTAGACTTCGATGGCGAGTATCACTCCCCTGACGATAATAATAGACCACTGGATGTACAGTGCAATGGTCATTATTATAATTAAATGATTGAGCCGCGTCCTGAGAAATGAAGGAATAATTCTCGGAGAAATCACACTGAATCAGAATCTCTCCTTCAACTAAATTCTCCTTTCGCTCTTTCACATAGGCTGTTTGCTCAGTGGCAATGAAATGATGAGATTTCAACGCTTTCAATCGTTCACAAAGTAAATCAATGAATTCACTTGCTGGGAGTTTCTGAGTCTGCAATGTTGCTCTATCCACAGTTTGCCACGTTTTGAATTCCACAGTTTCAATTATAGCGTAGTTACAAAGTAATCTTTTCAATTCAAGTGATAGCACATCAACTCCCGGACAGTTTCGGCATTCATCTAAATGGCACGCAGGTATTGGATTGGAACACATGAGCTTCGGGAGACAATCTTTGTAGTTCGTAAGGAGGAGAAATTGAATCTTCTGTGAGAGTGAAAATATGGATGGCATCCAACATCAATTTGCAGTTTTGGTGGTACGTACAGACGCAGACAACGTGCGTACCACTCGTTCCTGCCAATACACAATGTTTCGGTCTCAACTCCGCAAACTTACTGAACCCCACAGGAAATTTCGGATGAGAAGTTTCATATTGTTGATGCAGATCTGACAAATTTTCAAATACCAGCCTTTTTTGCATAATTTTCTTCTTGTCGTTGATTCTAACGGATACTTTATCTTTAATTCCTGGCATAATTCTACTGTTATTCTCGTAAAACGTGTCGACTTTCTCAATAGTTTTATCGGGTAATGATTTTCCTGCTTTCGCGACGGCCGAAGCCAATGCTCCTCTCATTTGTCTCAATTTTTTCGCTCTCTGAGCCATGTGTGTCATGGTTCCAAATTCTTCACTCACTTTCTGAGTATTCCATGAGAATGGAGCGACTATCAAAATTTGTAGACGTTCAGCGCATCCCTCCGTACTCTCAAATTCTTCTTTCAGGCCATTCAATATTTCGTCCAGCTCAACTTCTCGAGGAGAACGTGAATGTTCTACTGTTCTCCTGCTCACTTCATTGTCTGAATCTTCATCTACTGAGAAATCGTCGATTCCATTGGGTCATCGAACGCTTCAACTGAATCAACTGAATGGAAAGAATTACCAGATCTTAATGAACTGTTTGTGATACTACCGATAGAAATGTCCGCCACGAATGGTGTAAGATTTGAAGAGTACCCGGAAGGATCATCGAAGTCTCCAGTCGCTGTTGAATCAGATATCGGAGGGAAGGCTTCAATGTGTGGATGAAAATTAGAGGGGTGTTGGGCTAGGAATATAAGTGGCAGCTTTCGTTGTACAATTGATACACAGTCGTGCATTCCCCGGCAAGGATGAAAATTTTTTCCGTAACGATTCCGAAATTACACGTAGACCTTTTCCAACGTGACCTCTCTCTCCAGGGGCGCGCATTGGACTAGCACATCTCTCGGCATGGGGCATCTTATGAAAAAAATGAGTTGATCAGTCCTATGGATAGCTTAATATTAGATTAATGAAGCCATCAATATGGAGTTAGTAATGAAGACCATTGAATCTATTCCGACATTCTCATAAATGGTCCATTTATCTCAGAAGGGAGTGATTTCAGAAGAACATGTGGTGACTCTATATTTAGCGCTCAACAAGTCCACAACAACAACTGTATGTACACTTTCTTTCATGAATGTACTCGTGACTATGATAATTTATTATCCATTGAAAAATAAAAATGAACTCCTTCTATTTTATAACTTCTCTACTGGCACATGACAGACAAACAGATTACATACCTCGATCCAAACTGACAAACAACTGAAGGAGAATAACGATTCAGTCAATTTCTGGAGGAAATTTCACACACTGAACAGAGAGGGCATGAGGGATGATATTGCAGGAGCAAGAGTCTCAGGACAACTAATTAGATTCGTACTCATTGTAACCCTTGGAGGTTGTATGGAAACACGATTCTACAAAATCTGTAGTTTTTCAGACCGCTTGCCTCCTCTTCCCCCTTTCATCCCCCTGGACAGCGAATTATATTGTGTTGATTATTTGTGGAACATCGCAATCCGATTGAAAGTGTACGAGAAATACAAGGTCTTCTTCCAAGAACAATCAGACAACGTTTAATTTTCCTGGCTGCGTGTCGTATTATTTTTCATTTCTTTACGCTCATCAAGGACGAGAGTTGACGCTGGCTGAGTCAATGATACAGAGAAAAAATTGAACACACGTGGGATTCGAATCCGACTGAACGAATTGAGTTCTTCGCCCTATTGACTGAGCTATTGCACGCTTTCGATTTCTATGACATCTTCATAACCACTCAAGAATTTATTATTGGAAGTGGCTCCAGCTCTGATCCTCACATACCATATACATATATATATGTATATGGAAGGGAAGGTGATACGGAAAGTAGTCCCCGAAGCAACAGGCCATCGCTATGGCGGCGCGTAGTAATATCGAAATATCAAGACAGTGCCATAACAAGAAATGCTGACGAAAAAGGGGGCAAATAATCTTAAGGATTAATTTGCTGAATAAATTAAGAGAAATTTAATGAGAAAAGAAATTATCTCAAGATTCATTAATTAAATGAATAAATTAAGCAGACGAAAAGGAAAGAAATTATTTATAATAAAATTTCTCGATAAAAATGATTAATTTCTCTAAATTATCACAGATGATGCGTTAATGGAGTTCTGGGAAGAACTAACATACATGTTTGGACTAGACGATCTACACAGGGGTGAGGATGTCACTATAGGATTGGAAGAGAGTACTATAGTGATACAAACAGACAAACACAAATACAAGTTGGGTGAGTTGATTTGAATGATGGAAAAGGGACAGGACGAGAAACAATTAATTTAAAAAGTATTTTGAAAAGGTGCCAGTGAGAATATTGGCTAGCAAATATTTTCACAAAGTTAAATGGTACAGGAAAAATTCGAATTAATATAAAATAAAATCAAAACAAATACTAGTTATAAAACCAAAATACATATATGTTTAAAAGAATTGATTTTGAAATTTTATAATCTGGATGTTCTACAAGGATGATTAGAAGTAATACGTTTGATCGTACGAAGTATGAAACTAATTATCCCTCGAGCATAAATTAGTCTTTGAGTACAATTCTTATTTTTGTTCGAGGCTCTAATGCGGAGTAAGATTGAGTTCAACGTTTTCAGCAGAGGAGCAATATAAGTAATTAATCATAAAATATTTAAATAAAATAAACAGGTGCAAAAATGCTGCTAAATGCTCAGTGGAGGGCCGTGGTGGACGAGCACGAGCAATGTGTCCTCATGGACACACCAGCTATTGTACCCAAGATTTATGAACATCCAAACATTACTACTGAGGAGAGGGAGGAGTCAAAGGACGAGGTGAGTAAGAACGGGGGTGAGAAAACTGGAAGAGTCGATGAGAAAACAGATGAGCAACAGACGAGTGGAAATGAAGAAAACCCAGTAGTAATGAACAGTCTCAAATCAGGTAAATCTAAACCCCAAGTGACAGAAATCGAATACGTGGAACCTAAAATTGTAATAAGGAACACGATACCAAAACCCTCAAAAGATCCTGCGAAAACTAACTCTAACAATACCAAATCTAATGTTCCAGTGGAAGAGAAGTTAAATTTGACAATTGACAAACTTAACAAAGTAACTGACACTCTTAAGGAGATCGCCAATCTCCAGACACACCACTCGTTTTATCTGGGACAGACTCAATGACGTAGTTAAAGAATTAGGTGACATAAAAAATAATAAGGAAGAGAGACTAACCAAAATTGAAACAAATCTGGAAAACTTAATGGTCTGGGCTGAGTCTGGAGAGTCTTCTGAAGAGGTATTG